AAATCTTCGCTCGCTCGATTTTCCTCCAGCCGATTCTAGCCGCGAGGAAAACAGTGATTAATTCATCCAGGGCAAATTTGTCGCTTGATCTTTTGTCTTTTTTCCTTCAAAACGACAGCTTAGTATTTTCTTCACCTTCCACTTTTCATCTGTGCATTTCATCGGTGTATTTTACCGTCAGGAGAGGAGATTTGTTGAATTTGCTTAAATTTTACCGCGCTAGCTCAGTTTCTTAGCGTGCACCCACGGGCAAATGGTAGTGGCTAACTGACCAATCAGAGCGCGCGATTTACTTTTGTTATGTTATAACAATTGTTTAAAACCACGGTTGAAAGAAAACTCTGGCTTATGTAAAACTTAGCTATCTTACAAGAAAGTGCCTATCGTTCGGAAAGTATTTGACAGTCATATGAGGAAGCAAATTATTTTACAACTAACAAGTGTTGACACTTGCTTAAAGTGATCTTTGCGTTATAAGTAGAAATCCTGCGCTGATAACAAGTTTCTAGAATTTTCATGTGCACAATAGGATACTTTGAGTCATGCTGTAATTTGGCAAGTCCGTACACAATGAACTCTTCAAAAAGATTTATATGTTTCTTTGATTATTGAACTGTCCTTTCTACACTAATTCAATTCATCCGTGAGCTCGCTCCTAGGAGCCTTTGATTTGATCTCTGCAATTTCTCTGGTATCGAGGCCCTTGAATTTTCCTGTATACACGCGTATAGGCTGCGACCGCTGACGTATTTCCGGTCGTCGCTAACACGCATACTAAATCAGTTCAGAAACAAGTAAAAAGTACCGACGTCGATAAAGTAGGAAGTAAAAAACCTTTGGCGAGTAAATCCTGTTTCGTCTAAAATTAATCGCCTCCTCATTTCTTGATCTAATCTCCAAGCAGGCGATACTGACCGCCGCTGTTAGCGCGTTCTTATTTTGTCTAAAAATAGGCAAGGTCTAGTCTCCAGAATAGGAGGTTCCATTTACAGATCACCCATGCTTACATTTCATCTATTCTTTCGCTAATTAAACCGACCTAACTTCATATCAATCCTTTCGAGTGTGGGCCTCTGATGATTTCCTAATTCTCCACCAAGTTTGATCGATTATTTACATCGATCGACCCGTTGAACGCGATATAATGCGACATAGCTATGAAATACACGCTTAAGTCAATCACCCTTTTCCTTCGCTTTTCTCGCTTAAAAAGAACCTCCAAAGCCCTGTTTAAATTTTATTGACTTACTCTATTAATGATTTTGTTATTAATCCAGGGGGAATTGATTTTGGCCCGAGTTAGCTCGAAGTCCTTGTTAGCGAGATCTGCAAATCAATTCTTTTTACGCGTAGCACTGCTCACGCAATTACTTGTATTATCTGTAACGAATTATATTCTTAGCTAATAAGTTGCTGATTTTTTTTTGCTTGATTGATATCATTTTAGACGGAACAAATACTGCTGTGATTTTCTTTCCTGGTGGGATAAGGTGAAGTTAGAAAATGACGCAGCATTTTTCGTCTGAACAACTGAACTTCTACAAGTTGTCAGCCATTGTGATGAATGAGTTCCCGAAGGCGTTACAGCAGGTGTTCAAGGCAATGTGGGACAGTCGGTACGGTATTCCAAAGTGGGACGATTCACTAATGGTTAGGAACATGTTTCAAGATGACGAAGGTGGAAACATGACGCACGTGCCTATTGACAAGTCCTACATGGAATGGGATTGCACTGCTCTGTTTCAGGCCACACTCTATGCGCAAAGCTTTGTCCAATCAGGTGGGAGAAAAAGAGAAACAAATTTGTACGATTTGTACGTAAAACCGCGACGCTTAAAAGACGGAGCATTTCACCACTCTGTTTGGACCCAGCCTAGAAACAACGAAGAAACTTTAGCCCTGGCGTTAGATCAGCTTCGCTTGTTAAGAAACGCACTTTTTCGTCAAACAAATACGCAAAGTATTGACAGTTCCACGTTTCATAATTACTTGGTTTCAGCAGAGGGTGCCTTTGACGCACTTGGCCTTTCCTTTGAAAGCATTGAGAAATTTCTGAATGGAGCTGTCCTCGATTTTCATGCGTCAAGTTTTAAAGAGCTCTTGGACTGGGTGCATAAAGAGAAAACTGCTGCCATCAAGTCAAAGCAGTTTGAAAACCACCTTAGCGAAATTAAAGCATCCTGTAATACCAAAGTAACAGATCATGGAGGGCCACAATTAGAGAATAATTGCGGATTCCCCGGCTCAGAAACTAAGTCGTCGGCGGTCGACGGAAACACAAAGGTTGTTAAGCAAGCACAAAAGTTTCAAGGTGAGGCTTTTTTTTTCTTCTCGATTGTCCCGAAAAATGCCGAAAGGTAGGGTGAACGAGGTCAGTATTGTCAGAGCCGAAGTCAAGTATTGTTAAAACATTCCGGACCGAAACCAAGCTAACAAATAATACATTTATTCTACTGAGAGTCTTAACACAGATATGCTTGCAAATCACAGCGCAATGTGTGATCTGTTTGGCCAACCCCTATAGCAAAGGTGTATCAAATCTTTAAAAAATAAATCACAGGTAAAAAAAATCATCACTTAGAAAAAAAAAACTTAGAATTTAAACGAAAAGTTGAGAATCAGATACTTTCTATTCTTACTTCAATTTCATTGGTTAAGCAATTAAAAACAACAACAACAACTTTTAAGGATTAGCGGGAACTTTGAAAGCGCGCGTAATATGCAGACTACTCGGGAACACTGATTTCTGCATTTCCCTTAATTAAACATGGTTTTCATATGTCGGGGAAAACCCAAGCGATCGGGTATTTGGTGTCTCCGTACTTTCCAGATTTCAGCGATGTTTCAGGCAAATGCCAGGGTCTGTCCCAGACGCCATTTTGATGAAGGAGGGAATGACTGGAGTAGGCATTTGGAGGATTGGGACCAAGCAAAACCGACCGTCCATCGCTTCACGACATCCCCGACGTCCCTGACAGTGCAAATTTGAGTTTTCATATTTCGGTTCACATAACTATGATCGTCGAAATTCGAAAAAATCTAAAAGAGAGAAAGAAATGCGCCCGATTCTCTTGATTTGTCCTCGATCGCCCTAGGCAAGAGGAGGTGTCTACGTTTTCTAGTTTCATCACCACAAGAAAGAAATAACTAGCGACAATTGAGCTTATTATCCCTTCTGTGAAAAATTTGTTCTCATGATGTTGTTCAAAGGTATAATGTATATTATGTCTTCTTTTCATGCTTTAGACCTGGAGCAGACGGCAGATAACAGCCCTCGATGCTCATTTCAAGAAGCACATCCAAGCTCCGGTCACACTTATGATCGAATCAATGATAAATTTCTTAAAACTCGTGGAATATCAGGCAGTCGTAACGTGTGTGAGATTTTTGTGGGAAAACTCGACAAAGCTTTAAATTTCCGCCAAAGCGAGTACATATCAGAAGCACGGAATGAAGTGCGCGAACTTTTTGACCTCATTAAAAGAGAAGACGCTAGAGATTTTAGGAAACCAACTCGATATTGCTTGGAAGTAGTAAGCCGTGGGAACGACCTTTTTTTCGATAACAGCGTAAGTTTTTCTCTGAAACACGGGCTTTTAGTACTTGATTCAAGTAATGGTGGCGCGCTGTTTTACGCCAGCTTGCTTAATGTTTTGGGAGTACTTGCTTTGGAGATTTCAGAATTCCATATTGCTAAGAAAATATTCTCCATATTGGTTGCCTTTCATAGTACATCAGACGCAACTAGCCGGTTGAGGGACTTGGCAGCAGCTTTTAATAACAGAGGCTGTCTCTCACTTATAGTAGGAGAGTTTAACCACGCGAAAAGTGATTTTGACAACTCAGTTAGGCATCTGAATTATGAAAAGCATAAGCGACAATGTTTCTCATGGACCGAATCCCTGATTATTGGAGTACATAATAATGTTTGCTGTTTAAATTTCATGTCTCGGAATTTCACCAAGTGTATCGAAAAGCAGAACGAGCTTTTAAATCTCTGCAAAAGTAAGGCCCCAGAATTACCTATGCAAACAGTTTTTATGGTTTTGCATAACCAGGCAAAGACAAACATCGCCCTTGGCAGTATGGCTAGAGCAGAAATCGAGTTGAAGTGGTTGAATTCTTACTGTAAGGCTTTGCCAAAAAGAGAACGTCACGATCTTCTATTGGACTTCGTTTCCTTACAACTTTGCGAAGTATTGCTTCTCAGTGGAAAACCGGCAGAGGCAAATAATGTATACCCTTTTGAACGTCTAACATCGGAATGTGTACTGGAATTGATGCCCCGCTTCGGAGGAATTTACTTTGATCTAATGATCGAGACATTTGAAAAGAGAATTGACGTCCTTGTTGAATTTGGAAAACGGAAGAATGCTCTTGAATGTTTGCAAAAGCAGATCATTCTTGTCAAGGAACATTTTGGGGTTAGGCATTTCTTTGTGAGCTCCTTGTTATACAAGGAGGGGTGTACTTTAAAGCTAGAAGGGAAGTTATCCGATGCAAGGGAAAAGTTCAAATGTTCATCAGAAATTCTAAGAGATATTTTTGGCGAGAAGCATCCCCTTCTTATCAAGTGCTACATGTCTCTCGGTGGCGTTTCGTTGCGACTGGGACGTGAGAGTGAATCCCATCTTTCTTTCCACCGAGCTATGGAGAACGTGGAAGTTATTCACCAAGTTTCATTTCCGAACCAATTGTCGATCAGGTATATTGAAATGACAAGTAACCCTAAACGAAAACCCTTTGGCTTGTTTCAAAAGAGATATGTAGAAGAGCAAATGATTGACGGACTGGTTGCGGAGCATGGGTTGGCGTTGGCAGTGCTTTTGTCGCCGCTGAATCCCCCCAAAAAGCAGATTTTTCCAGAGACGACAAAGAAGGGAGCGAAGCAGCTGCCGGGAAAAATTGCAGAAGCTACACAGTGAGAAATCTTTTTGATTGTTTCTCAAAAAACTGCCCGTGATCTCTTGGTGAGTGGCCAAACCTTCCTTCGTCTGGGAATGAAAAATGAAGCCGGTGCCTTTTTCCAAGTAGCCGGCGAACTTTGCCAGACAAATCATCTAGTACAAGGCCAATCCTTGCCACCCCTGGTAAGCCTATTTAACTTCATCAGCCAGACAAACTTCGCCAATCAAAACAAGGTGAAAGAGAACTCTGACGTGATAAGATTTCTTGAAGAACTAAAGGAAGACGCAGTAAACAGTGCTAACGAGAATGATGCCGAGAGTAAAACAGAAGCCAAGGAGAAGTTGAATTTTGACAGCCAAATGGATTTGAAACTGGTTCTTATATTGCTGATCCTCTTCTCTGTACAACTGCAGTTGCACGATGCCATTTTTGCTGCGTATGACCTTTACGCATCTCTTTTTCCAAACGATGGTTGGTTCTTCCTAAGTGCTAACGATGAGCTTCAGGTTTACTCATCGAAGACGTCAGTAACCTGTAACGGAAAAACTGCGGTGCTACAGGTTATGTTTTCCACCACAATTGGTGACAGCGGAAGTGAATTAGAGAGCTCCATTCCTAGAAATTCTGTGTTTCGAAACATAGTCTATAGGAAAGGTATGCCGACTTACAGCTTATTGGCCATTCAAAGCTCAGATGCCATTCCAGACGTCGATGGCATAAAGCAAGTAGAGCAGGCGACATTGCGTTCCTTCCAAGAGTACCTGGAAATCGAATGCCTTGAAGAGGAAGGCGAAGCTACTCAGTTTATTGTTGATCTTTCTGTGATTTCAGAGAAAGAATCGTTTCTGACAGAGCGTCGTAGTGAGCTCCTGCCTCTCTGCTTGTCTGAAGAAAAAGAAAAAGCTGAAATACCTAACGAAAGGAGCAACGTGCATTCCATCGTCCCATTTCTGTGCGAGAAGACAGCTTGGCTTACATTTGCGGATGAACCGACCAGTTGTTTCATGTTCGGTAAAATTGCGTTATGGCTTCTGCAGGAATGTAAATGGGAAAAGATGTCCTCATTGAGAGTGCAAAACCAGTGTCTTGTCCTAACAGTTGTCCGTCCAGTTAAAGCCAAAATAACAATCTGGTATGGAAATGATTTCATCAAACAAAGGGTTCAGATCATATTCACCGATGACGGGGAACAGCTGTTAGGTGGAACTGGACAGAAAGGTTCATTGTGCAACTCAGAAGTGTATAACAGGGTGATTGAGGAATTTTTCGCACCAGTCATCATTCATCACTGGACCAGCACCCGTAATGGTGTACGCGTGGGGACCGCGATTACTCGAGAATGCTCCTGGGCTGCTGCGCCTACAGCTGTCCTCCTTGAATTCAATGAGCCAGCATCTTTTCAAAGATCCTTTGCAGAAGTAAGTAAACGGATCTCGATTTCATTGCCACGTTGTTGTTGAGTTTCATATAAAAGTAATATATTTTCCATAAAATTAAATAATGTGCGACCTAAGTTACGATTTTGTATAGTACTTACAATGAAATTTTTAGCGCTCCTATGAAAAATAAAATTTTGAACTTGATCATTTCAACATTTAGTTCATCTGATTCAATATTCCGTTCTGCAGTTAAACAATTAAAAATTCAAAACACTATTTGATTTAAGTATTGATTTCTGATTGGATTGATAAGGCATCGATTTTCCAAGTGACAAAGAGAAGTTAATCTGCTTGACGGGAAAAGAAATCAGTTGAAAAGAATTTGTGAACGAGGAAAATTCAAGCATTTCTTGTACTAGTATGTTAGATTATTCGTTTCATCCAAAACGAGCGGAGATGGAAGGTGCCCTTGCGTTCTCTGAGTCGTTATGACTTGAATTTTCATTTTTTATAACCTTAACTGGAAACACTTTGATGACGTAAAGGATAGTTCTTATTAGAGGCCTAACAGAACAAGGGTGGCGCAGTGGTGGGAACACTCGCCTCCTACCAATGTAGCCCGAGTTCAAATCTCGGCATCGAAGCCATATGTGGGTTGAGGGTACTCTCTGGTTTTCCTCTCTGCTCAAAAACCCTGACTTCTAATTTCCAATTCTATCTGGAACGTACAGATAGTCTAAACGAGTTCTTAAGAACTCCGAAGGGCTTCGTGGGTAAACACATGAGGATGTGGATGACTTCCCCCAAATTTATCGCCCTGCCTTATAATTCAGTGTTATCTGATGGATTGTCGTGAGAGCAGGTCAGAAAAACGGTTAAGCGATCTACGAAACCCCACTAAGACATAACCTTAAATGAAGTGGTGTGCAACACACAATGGGGAAATTAACTGTGACCTTATACATGTATTTAAACAACTTAGGTTGATTGTTATAAGAGAAAACGCGTTAATAGTTTCTCTAGAAATATCTACAAATTAATACGCGCAATGTTTGTCTGGCCTGTAGGAAAGAAGTGCGAGAAAGTGCCTGAATGCTATTACCCTTGAGTGTTTGACAGCGGTCAGTGAATTAACTTACCTTCTTCATGGCAACCAACACCCTGATGGTGCAGTACCAGACGTACATCCTGAAGATGCATCAAAAGGCGTCCAAACGAATGAGGTGGTTCCAAAGGTTACCGAAACTGATCCCTCTTTCAGTTTCTTTGACTCAGACGTTTCCTCCCTTAAAGTTGACAAAGATGTCACTCCCGATTCCCGTGGCTCCGCCACCATTTCTAGTTATTGCCGCAAAACAGCCTCCATTTCTGAAGGTAACACAGAAGAGATAAACGAATTGCTGCTTACACCTTCTGGGTCATCGAATGCGGAAGGAAGTAATTCTGTGGCCGTCACCGATGAAGATAGGCTGTTAGGGAGGGAGCTGTTCGTAAAAGACAGGAAATCTCGACACTTTTCCATTGCTAAGCTACTTGAAGAAATGAAGAAAAAGGAAATACTTCCAAATCCTTGCCTCCTGGTAAAAAGTGAATCCCATACAAAAGAAGAGAGTGTAAAAGAAGTGTCTTCTGTGGAAGAATCATTTCATCAGAAACTTCATTGCGAACGTCTAAGACCAGGATCTTTCGATTGCTTTGAACACGAAGGAGAGGAAGATGGAAACAAAAAATGCGAAGATAATGAGAGTTTTCCGGAAAGTTGTAGAAGTTCTATGGCCTTTTGCCAGAAACACGCTCCTGGTATTTTGCAGACAAGTGAAGAAAGGAAAGAAGAGAGAGGCTGGGTATTTCCCAGCGCTGCTGAACTCCAGAATGGCTCGGTTTGTCAGTCAGTGATAGATGAAAAGGAAAAACAAAGTGCAACCACCAGTACGATTATGGAAGTCGCCTTGCTGCGGAAAAAGAATGGTGATCATTTTTGTGTAACGGAAGAAAACGAAGCTAATGTCAATGAGGTTTGTGGCCAACAAAGCGATCAACATGTGGTTCTTGAAGGCGCCACCCAAGAAAGAGGCATGGATATCAGAGACCCCCAAACTGGCCTGGTTGAAAGAAATCATGCCGAACACAACAAAGAAGTAATGCAACTAGAAGAGGAAAATGCCCTTCATATCGGAATGTTTAAAAGCCATGACTCCCAGAATCAAAGGAAAACGAGCTTGCTTGGCAGTGAGACCAATTCCGAATCTTCCAAAATCTCAGAGATTGGTGAGTGTTTTGTAGAGAGAGCAGAGGACGCGGTTCAGAACACCTCACGAGATTTTGAGAGTTTCAATTTGGGACTCCCTAGTTCTAGGAGAAAACAAAGCCATGATAACGTTGACGTGTCAGGTCGAATTGGTACAAAACTACAGCTGGATCAACGAGGCCATCAAAGCGGTGTTAGTGCAATTCACAGAAAAGACCACATGAAAAAGACACCTGAATCTCCATTTTTTGGAGGCGATGTCGTTGCAGATGGTTTTATCTCAGACGTCTTGCCAGATTCTACTACTGTTGCTCTTCGACCCACCCTACAGCTTTCAGAAGTCCAGCAAGGAGATACCATGGGAGCCAATACACATTCTCGGTTTCTGGGTGACGATGTTGTGGCAGACGCCTACGGCTATTTAACAGATGCCTTGCCACAAACATTTCAAGATACTGTCGACGGTCCCGCCATTACGACCGAAAATCCCCATTCAGGTGATGCCACGTTTGAAGAAAGGGGTACTGGAAACGTTTGTTGTGGGAATGATGTTAAAGAGGTAAATAAGCTTCCAAGGATTTACAATAATTGTTCTGATCAAGTGACTTTGGACAGACGAGTGTTAGTTGATACTTCCGCAAATCCTCCTGCAGACAGAGACGACGCTGAATATCATCCACAAGGCTTTGGAGGCGCAAGACCTAAACAAGGATTGCCTAAGCCACCAAGATCCTCCAGTGTCATTGGGAGGCCCGTGCAGTTACGTTCTAGCCAACAGTCCGAGGAAATTATTCTCGGCCTAAATCCCAACTTTGTGGCGCGCCATGCTGTTACTGACGATAACCTCCACTACCCTGATTTTGATGGAGCCGAATGGAAAGACCGTTTATATCAATATAGTGAGGAGCATCTCTATTTAGCCAACGTCTCTGGTAATTTAAGCGGGAAAAAAAGTTTTAACTTGTATGGACAAGAAGTATTACAAAATAGTCATAACTCATCCAGCATAAGTCGACACTCACCTGAATCAGACGCTTTTGACGGTGGCGCTACCATGCAAAGAAGTGTTCATTCTTTGGCTAGAAGTCCGTCACTTCTCCCCAAGGAGGAGAAAAGCTGGCATTTTCCACCTTTACAAGGAACTACAGAAAACCGTATCCTACAACGTAAATACCGAGAAAACTACGGTCCTGGTCACTTGCAATTGACGCAAGATCATGGACCAATGTTTCAGAGTCCAAATCCAGATTCAAGCAATGCCATGGTCGTAGCCTCGACCAATTTCAATAACAATACCGACAGTTATGGCGATTCTTCCTTGCATTCGACTTACACCAGGGAAGCAGATTCGGTTACTGTGCATGAAGACCAGCGGGATTTAATTGAAGACAACATAGAAACCCATCTAGAGGATCTAGAAAAGGTCATGTCGCGAACTGTAGGCCTCTTCGCCTCTATTGTGGCCACCGAAACGCAGGTGGAAATTAAAGAGCAAAATACAGAAAAGGTAGGTATACAAGAACAAGCGATGAGCGGAGTAGACAATGGCCAAACCGAAATTGCTGGGGGAGTATATTCTGGAGAACAAACAGCCCTTATTCCGAGAAATGAACAAACCACAGACACTAAGAAGGAAGACGGCATCTCTCCCATTCAAGAAAGCCCACGTCCCGCATGCGGTCATTATCAGCGGCGATGTCTTGTCCGTTTTCCATGCTGCGGACGTTTTTACCCCTGTCACAGGTGTCACAATGAGTCGGCCGCATGCACTGATGACCAAGCAAGAGCCATAAACGCTACACATATCAGATGCATTATCTGTTACCATGAACAAGTGGTAAGATGATGATACATCCATCTATTTGCTAATGCTTTGTAGTTTCTACATTAAAATTGTTGATACCACGCTAGCAGGCGTCCGGCGTCGTCATGTTTTAAGTGTACTTGCTTAATTAGGGCGCACTATTCAATTCCGACCTCAGGCATTTGCAGTCGGTTGAATTTTTTGAGCAAACCAGATCATGAACTACAACAGGAATCCCTTGGAGAATGTTTGATATCCCTAGAACTTGCATTTCCGTTGGGTCTCTGTTTTTTTTAAATATATTTTGCAAGGCAGAAAACTTCCAACAAGATATCTGAAAGATAGATCTTAACGTTAAGCTTAACTTCTGTTTTTGTTTATCTTTCTTTGTTTTATTTTATTTTTTGAGTTTGATTTCATATTCTCTATAATAAAGTATGTAATGCAATTTATGACACTAACAAATGTTTTTATATTTTCAAACCATAGATTGACGAGGGAAGCCAAAAGTGTCGCGGCTGTAATTCGAAAATTTCAGATTATTTCTGCGCCATCTGTAAACATTTTACTTCGCTCGACAAGAATCCATTCCATTGTGACAAGTGTGGAATCTGTAGGTAGGAGGTATATTCTTGACTTTAGGTCTAAGGAAATGTACTTATATTTTTTTGTTTCCTTGAAGTAGGCGCATAGCATTTAATAATAATAATAATAATAATTTATTCATTTATATTGCGCTTTTTAACATGCTAGGTGATCAAAAGCCAATTACAACAATAAATAACCTAAAAACTATACAAATATTAGAAATATACAAATATATTTAATATCTAAGAGATATTAAAAGCTAATTTAAAAAGATAAGTTTTAAGATTAGACTTAAAAGTAGAACGCTTGATGTTGCGAAGGCTAACAGGAATGACAGAGCTGAACAAGGTCTGCGCATGTGCCGAGACGGGAGAGGTCTGGAATCTAACCTAGTATCGTTTTCAAAGGGATTTTCAAAACGTCCTCACATTTTGGCGATTATTAAAGTGGATTCTGAATATTTAAGGTCCTCAGTTAAACTAAAGGTAGATTATTTCATACTTTATTCAATTCTCGTTTCTACCCTTGTAATTTTTCTTCTACTTTTTTCTATGAACAAAAGAAGACGCACGAACGAATCATCCCTGCAATAATAGTATCGTTTGAAAAGCGATTTTCAAAACATACTCACATTTTGGCGATTATTAAGGTGGTTTCTGAATATTCAAGGCTCCCATTTAAACTAAAGGTAGATTATTTCACACTTTATTTAATTCTCGTTTCTACCTTTGTAATTTTTCTTCTACTTTCTTCTATGAACAAAAGAAGACGCACGAAAGAAGCGTCCCCGCTATAAATTAAATAGTATCGTTTGCAAAAGGATTTTCAAAACATCCTCACATTTTGGCGATTATTAAGGTGGTTTCCGAAAATTCAAGGCTCCCATTTAAACTAAAGGTAGATTATTTCATACTTTATTGAATTCTCGTTTCCACCTTCGTAATTTTTTCCCTTTTTTTGCTATGAACAAAAGAAGATGCACAGACGAAGCCGAAAACAGTTCTTTCATTCGAATGTGTACATTTTCAAGCGTAAACACATGGAAGTACAGATTATCAATATGTTATCAGTTCTAAGAAATCGTCTGGACATCATATCAGTGTCAGCATTAAAGGTACATTTTATTTATCTCTGTTTTTCCTTGAATGATCGTCCTTAAGTTATTTCTCTTGTTATATCTCGCTTGGTTTCACTATAAGAACTGTAAGAACACAAAACAATCACTGAGGTTTCGAATTCAATCAAGTTCTTTCTTCCAAACTTGTTTCCCTTTATGACTCATTCTTGGCTCAGCTCAAAAGAGCTATTATAAATTTTTGTATATGACAACAGGCAAAATTAATGTTGAAAAGAGTAAATGGGCAAGTAATACAGTCGATGCTTGCTGGTAAAAGTATCAATGACTTGAAGTTCTCTAAAAAGCTTCATTACAGAGAAAGCACAATCTGACTCTTTACAAACTTTCATTTATTTTTCTCTTCGAAGTCTAGATCTTCATTCCTTGATTCTTCTGCTTCATTCAAACCTGTCATAAAAGGAAAACCTATAGTTAATACGAAAACTCACATAGAGCTGAGCCAACTTGTGATTGTTTCCCAAAACTTCAACAGCTTTAAACTTTTAAAGGTTTATCCACTAATAAGCTTAAAGGTGCAAATTAAATTTTAAACAAACTTTACCGAATAAATACTGATTCTACAGCTCGACCAGCGCCTCTAAGCCGGCTAGAGGTACGTAAAAGCTTCTTTGATCGCACTAAGATTTGTAACTAAGTTTATGACTTTCACGACTTCTTGTGTCTGATGGTATCATCGCGCTCAAAGCCGGCTGTCTTGCCACCAAGTCAAAAGAAACGGTCAACAACTGTTATCGCTCGGCCTACATTACAAATATTTGCTCCTCCTTAACCAGAATAAAGTAATGTTTAAGTAAATCGTTTACGTACCATCGAAGAAAAGTCGCCCAAACTCCAGCACGTTGCTCTTTTTTAATTTCTCAGTCATCTTTCTGCAAACTTACTGACGATCTGCATCAAAACAATGAAAAACCTTCGCCGGGACGGTCAAAAACATTTTCCTTGATCCCTGGATTACATAACATTTCTTTCCATGAGTTGCATTTCTAACGTATTCGTAGAATTTCTCCTTTGTTGGCATTCACAAATATGAGTTTAGATGGTCGAAGATAAAATGGTCTCAGATGCTAGAATTTCACTTTGCGCGAGTGCTTCGCGCACGGGCTAGACTAGTAAACAAGTGATGTCACGGACATGCGTAGTACGTTATTCAGCCCTGTCAACAGGAATAGGGTTTCATGAAGTGGGCGCAGCCACACTGAAGGGTCTCTCACCAAATGACTTTTTCATTTTCCCTGATGGATGCTTTAATAAACCACCTTCATTAGAGCGCAGCAAATAGCGCGTATTAATCTTAATATGAATTAAATCGATGATTTAACTAGGTGCCATGCCACAGAGGCCTTTGAAAGTAAGTAATAAAATTTTAAAATTAATTCTATATCTTACTGGTAACCAGTATAAATTTGTCAAAATGGGCGTAGTATGGTCATACTTTTTACATGACATAAGCAGCCTAGCTGCTGCGTTCTGTACTCTTTGCAACTTAGTTATTTCACAGTCCGGTAATCCATAGAGAAACCATTATAATAATCAATTCTACTTGTAACGAAGGCATGCAACACCATTTTTAATTTATCCCTAGGCAGAAATTGGCTTATTCTCTTGATATTATGTAACCGGAAAAATGCCGCACTACAAGACACAGAAATATGGGTCGACATAGAAAAATGCGATTCGAACCAGGCGCCGAGGTTACGCGCTACTTTAACAGGCTTAATATCAATAGTGCCAACACGGACAGAACAGTGATGAATTTTCAGCAACTGTGGTCTCCATCCGATAACAAGAAATTCAGTCTTATCATTGTTGATCTTTAGTTTGTCCCGGTTCATCCATTTACGTAAATCACTAATGCATCGCTCCATGGCTTCCAATGCCATCACTTGATCCGTAGGACTGTTAGGATCGAAAGACAAGTAAAGTTGCGTGTCGTCAGCGAAGCAATGCGCATTCGGCAGGTGGTCTTGTACTATCTCAAAGAGCTTGGAGGCGTAAACCACAGACAGAAGCTCAATATCACAATATCAACCTGATAACTGTACGGATCTGAGCGGCCCAGCATTGAGCAGTGCACAACGCTTCAACGCTGAGTACGTCCACATTCACTGCAAAAGCTACCCTTTGTTTTCTTTTCCAGATAAGAGTGGAGAGAGAATACCTTATCGCCGAAACAAGGGCCATATGTTGCACTCTGATCTTTCTCTTTTCAAGTCAATCATGCTCTCCCAAAAATAAAGTAAATTACCAGACTTTCAAGGCTGTATGTGGTTTAACAATCACAAAACAATTTAACGTTTCCAAACAGTGCTCCATACTTTGTCCAGGATCATACCACTTGAGTGATTACTTACTGAGAAACCCTTTTGGCCTTACCAACGCCACCTCTAGTCTGATTATTTGAGGCTATTTTTTTTTTGTTACAACCTCTTTTGGACCGCTGAGATGTAAACTGCTTACTCGCCGGTAGCTCCAGGCTAACTGAAGAAAATGCTTGTTCTGTCCTCACTCCGTGTAGTGCCTTCTACATGAAACGAAAAAACAAACAGACAAATCAGAATTTCCTCTCACTTTTGCAGCGCTTCAACGCTATTATTATTATTATTGCTTTTATTCTAGTCAGTTATTTCTGAAGTCTTTTACGTTTTTTCACTTGCTGAAATGTTTTTTCGTTCTTTGTTTTTTCTTCTTAGAATTCATCGTGATAAGTCTTTTCATTGCGATGTATGCAACGTTTGTCTGGATAAAAGACTTCAAGGGAAACACAAGTGCCGACCAGACTCTGGGCATGATGAATGCTGCATTTGCCTAGAGGTAAAATATGTTTTATTATTAGGAAAAGTTTCTAGGGGAACATATTTCATATTGCGATATCAAATCTGATATCAAATAGCTGTGTTGTGCATTGTCTAGTTTGCTAGCTAATGAAGGAAATCTGTTATATGTAGTCCGTTGTATGTAGTTACTCGGGCAGCTAAAAGCATAATTAGTTCCGGTCAACTGTTTCCCTGCATGAGGGACTACTGTAGTATCTGGTATTCACGTAAGAATATAAAGTGGATGAGGTAAAACAGGGATCCGTAAAGGGAGAAAGGAATGGAGAGGAATTTTACTTAATTATGAATTATATGCATCTCATTCGATCCTTAATCCGCATGCAAGTGAAGAATGACGACTTTTTGTTTAAACGTTCACGGTACAGACAGGAAATTTAGTCCTAGCAACAAGGTGATGACGACGCGGAGCTGCGCCACCATGTAATGGCAACTTTTGTAAGGAAGTATAAATTAAGGAGGCGGGCAAAACAGAGAAATAAGAAAGTGACAAAGACAGATTTTGGTGCAGCTTTACAGCAATATCACGTAACAATGCGTGAGAGGCTCATACGCACTGCCAAAGATGATCGCTACGATGACAAATGGAGAAGATTTATATTGAATATCGACCAGAGCCCTCTTTCCTTTGCCGTTTGCATCAAGACGACCTACGAGCTCTCAGAAGAAGAACAGCACCAGATTGGATTAATCAGCCTGGTAGTGGGCTTGTAAAACACCAGTGCGCAGTTCAGGTGTGCTTCAGACCGATTAAATGGTGATCAGCGTAGACTTGGTATCATTTTTCGGGGTACAACTAGAACAAACGAATCAGCAATGATAAAAAGGCAGCTATCACCCCGATTTTGGTGTTTTCTTTCAAACAAAATGCATGGGCGGACACCACTACCTTTGTGGAATGGGTTGAGAGAACCCTTTCTAAAGCTGTGGCTGATGACTATCGCTTTTGTTTGTTTTGTAATAATTTGAAGAAGCAGTATCGTAACTTAGGGGTGTTGTTTGGTACGGATTACCCGCAACAACAGATCTATGGCAGCCAGTTGATGCTAGTTATGCACAACTCCTTAAGTCCTTGATTGGGCAAGCTCAAAGACGGTGGCTGGATGATGAAGACAATGCAACGAAGTGGTACGGCCACGATAAGAGTTTTACGTCCATGCAGCGAAGAATATTGATAACCCACTGGGCTGGAGATGCCTAAAACAAGCTAGTAACACCTGCTTATGATCACCTGCGCCTCAAAGTGTGGCAGAAGACAGGTCGCCTGATTTCAGGACGAATTGGTCAAACCAGAGCGCCTACTCAGCTACATTTTTCCACCACCTTCCCTACTACAGCCTTTATCATCTGATCCACGTCATGAGGACAACACTTCCACCAGCTGTAGAACTGACAGCGATGCTGACAATGAGAATTAAAATGAGGAGAGTGGGCCTGATCCAGCAGAGGACAGGATGACGGACAGGGACTATGACAATCCACCAGTGGGAAGAAAGGTGACTGCGTTTAATGAGAATGGTTGGTTTACCGGCACTATCCACTGCTTGAACAAAGTTCTAAAGGAGATCAAACATCTGATTTTCTCACCGTCCAAGATTTTGATAACGTGGAAGATGTATTTTGGAACTCGAGCGTTAGACACTTTCTTACACGATGTAGATATTGGGTCCATTGTATAAGGCATATTTCACAGCTTTCCTTTTTTTACGTTACTGTTATTGCGCTTCTAGTGACAACTTTCTAACGACAATGGTTTTAGTTTTCTCATAAATGAATTGTACAATTACAATGTAAATGTATTATTGATCATACACAAAAGGAATGTGTTGAGAGAACTAAATTTTACACCCTGATTCCATATAGGACATTACGGTAATTCAGATTTTCTGGATATAGGAAAGTAAAAGTTTTGAAAAATAAATTTTTCTTCTCTGAGAATCGAATTTGTTCTTGGCATGTTCTTATAAAAATTTCTTTTAAGAAAGAGAGTGTACGCCAATAAACTAGATGTATATGCTCCAAAATTTTAAGGTGATTCGCTGATTTTGCACTGCGCATCTTTTACTTCGCATAGCAAGATCGACACCGAAAACAAGAGCGTCTGAAGTAACATTACTTAAATGAAGTTGACTGAAGAAAAACGGTATTTGAATTTTCGCTTGCGGTTGTTCTTGCCGAGATGAGACTCAATGTGTTATGAATGTGCAAAACGTCAACAGCGCGCGTGTTGTTGAGTTCGACTTCCTCACGGAGAACCTCGATAGTGGATGTTAAACTTGTGCTAACTCACATTGCTTTTCATTTAAGCGCCGTCTTTGTCACATTGCGTCGCAACAGTGATATCTCGATTTCAATTCTGTAAAAACGGATTTTTTAATGCTTTCTTCCCCCTTCCACATACATACCATTTTTAAACTCGCCCCAGTCCTCTGTCAAAAAACGGAGGAAATTTATTTTGTGAGCACTTTCTGCAGCTCTACGGCAAAAACGAGTGCGGTGAGCCCTATTTTTATTTCATGATTTTAGTACGAACAGTGCAACCTTTAAATGAGAAAAAAATTGGCATAAATCTATGTTCAGTTTTTTAGCAATTTTACTAAATTGTACGGATTGAGCTATAACGGGTCGAATAGCGCGTGTCCAAATTAAGTCTACTTTGGAGCGCAAAGTAAAAACAACGGCATTGAAAGGCACTTTTCTGGTACGTACGTCGATAAACAACACATTTAAGTCGAATTCTGTGCGATACCACATGCATCATCGAAAAAATCTCTCCTTTTTGTCTAGTTTTGACGTGCGCGAGGTTTTTGCCATAGGGTGCTAAATAGCCGTATTTGTCAGCATTGTGACGTGAAAACAAGCACAGTAACCCCCACTTTTTATTACTTTTTTTATCATCTTCCTGGCTTGTTGCATCAGTGTACCAAGTTTCATCTGCAATCTATGTTAGGTTCTTTTACTAAGGTACCACCTTAAGTCGGTAATCGAAAGTTGAATTTCGTTATTTACAAGGGTTTTAAACAATGCAAGTTTACTCCTACTCCAAATCCAAATCACGTTACAAACACTTCTCCCGATTAACAAGTAAAAGAATAAGAGTGCACCTTGACAGGAAATGCGTTTCCATCACCCCTATGTTTTCCATAAACCATATATCATGTCTTAGACAATGACCAATTTCTTTCTAATGTTAGGATGCTTTCAGTGGCTGTCAAATTCTTCCTTGCTCCCATAAAGTGCACAAGGATTGTGCTATAGCCATGATACAAAACGGAATGTAAGTATAACGTTGTTACATATCTCCATAGCTGCAGGTTTTTTTTACTATGAGTTCTGGTCATATATAACAGAAATAGAGAGCTCCGCGTGAGGAACCGCCTACGATGCACCATCATGAGGTAAAAAAAAATGTTTACCTAGCCTATCTATACGGGGAATTTTGGTTCGAGGAGAGAGGGAAGACTGTTTTCTCCTTTTCTGCTGCTGCTATAAAGCCTTTTCGAGTAGAATTATGGGCAGAAACACGATTTTGTTTTTTTTTCCTTTTTAGGGGTGACTTGCTTGTCAGTCAGTTGCTTAAGAAAGCAAGAAAAAAAAATAAAGTCTTGAACGGAACCCCTGATCTTTGCATTATCATGCAGTTGACCCAAGAAGCTAACTGGAAGCTTGTTATTAAGTTATAAACCCGTGAAAGAATGAAGAAGAAATAATTAATAATAATATAAGAAATAATAATATAAGAACTGTGAGAAGAGGAATATAATATAAATAACAATTATTCACCGAAGTGGAGGTGGCTAGTAGAGGATATTCACTGATTGAGTAGCCAATCAGAGCGCGCGAAAAACACTATCCTTTGTTTTAGTATATACGCGTACTAAAGAAGGTTATCGATTTTATAGACACAGCTTTTATTCGCAAGCCTGTAAAAAAAACCACATTAGTACGGGATTCGATAATACCAGTACAGCTCTCTACAGCGCTTTTTTTTTTCTGTTATATCTTCACATACCAACCAAATGTTGAGAAGTTGGGACAAGAGTTTCTTTTTTTTTTTTTTTTTACTTTCTCACTCCGACGACACACGCAACCACTATTGCGGGGAGGGAAGGGTAGGTGGGGAAAGGACCACTTATAATGACCTATTCGGGAAGGTCCCGCCTGAAATGGGTATCTTTTTCAGGCTTCCTTGATTTAAAAGGGCAAGTATTTCACTGGGAGTCGAAGTATTTAAAAGGATAGGAAACTCTGACAGTTAGGTAATTGGAAGGACTCTTGATTGAAATATTTCGAACAGACGGACTACTCCCATTAATGTCCACATTACCACCACCGCCATTAATTCAAAATTAATTCCATTTTCTCAAATTCCCTAAAAGATCTTGGAATAAAGTTGTTATTATTCCTACTAACAGTAATCTTTTCTTCCTTACAGCCGCACATGTCCAATATGTCGCCATCCGCTCTTCCAGCAACCGGAGGGCACTGATCAATAGATCGAATAAAGTTGCGCGTGTATACGATGCACTTTGCGTCAAATATAAATAATAATTATCAGTTTAACATTTTTTAGCTTGGGGTAGTTTTATGGTTTAATCCTTGCTTCCGATGTGTTTAAAACAGGCGGGACAAAACATACCGTAAAATTCCGAAAATAAGCCCCGGGGCTTATATTTTTCAAAGGCCCTTTTTGAGGGGCATATTTTTGGCGGGGGGGCTTATATTTGGAGAGGCTTATTTTCTGAATTTTACGGTATTTCCAAAGATAAATGTCACGTCTATAGTTGTGTCGTCTCGACGTACGAACTTGCTTTCTACGAGAAACTTTAGAAATTTTATCAAAGTAAATTTAGTAAAAACAGTATTATATTCCCATATGATGCATCTTGTCCTCTCAAGACGTTGCTTAGTTGCACAACCGTTAGAATTAAAGGGTCAGTGTCCCGATTATGCGCACGCGCAAGCGTCATATGTTTTTTCGAAAAAAGACAAGAGAACTGCCATATTGACATGACAAGAATCCGCCGACGGAGGTTTGTTAGTTGTTTACATTTTCAAGTAATATTTTAGACTTTCTCCTTATTAAAAATTTGGCTCGCAGCACGAACACTCATCGCGATTTTGTCGCTAGCTCGGCCGCCTCGCGACCCGAAAAGCTCGTTCCGCTCGCTTTTAAAACAGCTTTTCTGCTGTGAAACTCGTGTCAGATGTCAATTTGTGGCAAGTCCAAGTTCAGTAATATTTGCTCGCGTTGTAGCCTGAACAGTTCGAAAGATATGAATAAAAATGTAATCTCAACATGATGAAGCATCGCAAAGGTTAGTCAAACATCCAGGGGCACCCAACGAGAATATAGTTCAAAACCACTTAAACATAGCATTAGTGAACGAATTTTAGTATTTAAACGGTAGATATAGGCATATTTTTATCCCCTTAAAAATTTTCATCTGTTCGGATTTCCAAGCTGATCCGAAAATTATGGGGATCAAAACTTACCTTTTCGAAAGTTTCAGCCAGAAAAAAGGTTCCCGAAAATTCTAGGTGACCTGTTTAGCGTAAATACAAATGGGCAGTTATACCAGTTGTTTAGATGTTCGAAAGTCCTAGGAGAGGCAGGTAAGTAAGAAATTGTACATCAAATGCTCCGAAATTCTAGATCTCAAGTCGTCTTCCCAACCGATATTTTCCAAAAATTGACGTTGGGTGCCCCTGAACATTGTTATGATTTCATTGCATTCGTTTCTCGAAACATGTAGTGCCTGTTTGTTTGATTTTGTCGGCCGTATGGAGGTTTATTCAAGACTTTACTAACACGTCGTTGTAAGACATTGTGGTTCACGAAGCTTAAGAGATTTCCTCATGTCTCAATGGTTTCTTTCTCACATAGTCTTCATTGTTGCTGTTCCATTTCTGCGTATTCCTTTCACGATATGATCTGAGCTTGTATGGAAGCTGGCGAGAGAAAGAAGCCTTCAATAGACTTTTTAATCGATACGGCGGCCATATTGAATTAATTCGATTTTTCGAGCGCTTTTCGGGACATTTTTTCTTAAAGTTTTCTTAGAACAAGATTCTAATGGGAAAAAAGATCCTTGTGCCGTGGTTGGATGTTATAATGATCGCCTTTTTCCCGAGAAATATACAGTGAAAGACCATATTTCTAATAGTAAACTAGAAAAAGACGATCATTATTACATCCAAACACGGCACAAGGATCTTTTTTCCCATTAAAATCTTATTCTAAGAAAACTTTCAGAAAAAATGTCACGAAAAGCGCTCAAAAATTCAAACAAAATGTGCTCATGCCCCCAGGGCATCTTATAATAATCCTTAAATCGAATTAATATGGCCGCCGTATTGGTAAAAAGGTCTATTGGCATTAAAGCGCTTCCCTTCTCTTGGTCCTCCGGCCAACGGCAATGAAAGTAATGCCAAAAAATCCCGATTCACCCAAATCGAAACTTAACGGGAACAATATATCATTGATCTGTAATTCTGAAGAGTTTTAATGTAGTATCGAACTCGACCAAACGCGATGCAAACGGATGTTTTAAGATTCTCTTACTCTCCTCTCATCTTTTGAATTCGCGACAATCTTTCAGAAAATCAAATTTTGGTACATGCGCAGTAATGGGATACTGTTCCTTTAAAAGTGAGAATTTGAAGTACTATAATGTGATTAGTGCTATTAGCTCTGTGCGTAAGTGGGAGACGGGATTTCAAGTAATTACCTTATGTCCAAAAAGTTGCCAAAAGGTGCTAGCTTTTCGATCAATGTACATGTATATCTACCTGGATCTATGAAAGCAGGGTTAGCAAACCTTTTGTTAATTTCTCCAAGTGGCTGTAGACAGAATTTCGCGAATTTCTATCTAATGCCCTTCCCTCCCTCCCTCTTTATTTGTTTGTTTGTTTTTTTCGTCACTACCCACAATTCTCTCTTATACACAAGTCACAGTTATTTGAAATCAGTGCGCGCCTAAAGCTGGTTTCCTCGCCGTTTAGCAGTTTGCAGTTCTTTATTGGTCACCTTGAGAAAAGTTTCCCGGAGAGTATCATGCTCTTTGGCCTCGGGAACAGGCTTTTACCAGTAAAAATAATTAGACGAGAGCAAAATTGCAGGTGCGTGAACTTTGAGCCGGGCCTGGTGTGAAAACAGGGTCTATGCTGGTCTGCCGACCGTGTGACTGTACACCCGGGAACTTGAATAATACGAGTATAAGAGAAAAGTCCAGAGGAGTTTATTTGCAAATAGGCTAAGTTTCTCCGAGTTATTTGATGATATTTCCCTTGTGTTAAACGTGAGAAGATTATGCGAGGTGGTGGGTTAGGGTTAGTGCTGCGAAAATGTGTGCTTGTGTGATTTCCGGTATGTGGTCGCGTGGTTGAGCTGTTGCACCAAAATATTCTGTGGCAGGCATAAAAAACGTTTTGTCGGTGTTAGCTTAACTGATTGTACTCTAGGTTCCAGAGGATATTTTTTTCTTATGGATACTGATGGTTCACGGCGTCAACAAAGCGCGGATCGCCGAAAGTCCGTCTCGGGAGCCTTATCGAACTGTAAGCACGGTTTATTTCATATTAGGTATTTTGAGAACGGACCTCTGGAGCCAGAGTAAGCTAATTGTGCCTTGAAAAACCAATTTTCGACTCAGGAAAATTGGATCTAGGTCTAGTTTTAGCGGGCTGTTATGGCATTGAACCATAGGAAGGTTTTTGCAGATAAGAAGGTGATAATTAGTGCACTATGTTTCATTCAGTTTGTTGTCTATTCCATGCGAAATCCTGTCGTTTATCGAACCGCGAAAAAAGGGGGTATTTTGCTAACTATTTGTAGAGGTAATAGCATGATTTGTAGTGATATTTGTCATAAATACCACTTACTTACTGCCCGGTGTCAGATAAAGGCTTTTAAATGATTTTGAATGATTTGTTATTGTTTTAGCTTGCCAAGTAGTAGAATGAGTTGATGTTTTTGCTAACCCGGTTTTCAAAAATCCAGGTATATATATTTTTATAGAGTAAATTGTAGCTGGTCGCCAAAGAGTAGCTAAAATCGAAGGCTTAATTTAAAATCAATAAAGGACTACCGTTATTCCACGGTCTATTGCTATCTGTTATCGATGTGGAACGTGGGTGGCCGTGGTAATTTTAAGTTACAAAAACGTACAGATATATAAAGTTGCCAAATTAATTTATATATTCATCGCATTTGTTTAGGTTTTTAGATTAGACATTAATAATTGGCGAACACAATCAGTAGGAATGCATCAGCCGTTGT